CAGGCACAACAAAAAATTGCATATTTAACATCACCTGAGGGACACAAAATTACAGCACCTAAAGACATCAGCAACAGGTTTGCACAATATTACGCCTCACTGTACAACCTAGCCGAGGATGCTCACACACCCCAACCGGACCCCCAGGCGATACAGACATACCTAAGCTCCATACCCATGCCTAAATTCACACCCCAGCAACAACAGGAACTCATGGCTAGCATAACAGTTGCAGAAGTCGCGGAAGCCATTAAACTACTGCCACTAGGCAAAGCACCAGGTCCAGATGGCTTCGCATACTGTTACTACAAACACTTTGCCCTAATCCTCACGCCACATCTAACAAATGCTTTCAATGAAGCCACTGCACGACAACAGCTACCCACTGAATCCCTACTGGCCAATATCATCACACTCCCAAAACCGGGCAAACCACCCACATGCCCTCAGAACTTTCGCCCAATATCCCTGCTTAACACTGACGTTAAGCTCTGTGCAAAGATCTATGCACTGCGTCTGGGCAAAATGCTCACACAGGTTATACACTCAGATCAAGTGGGATTCATAAAAAACAGGCAGGAATGCGACAACACAAAGAAGGTTCTGGACATTGTACACAGTGTCCACAGATTGAAAGTGGGAGGGGTGTTGGTGTCGCTGGACGCTGAAAAGGCCTTTGACCGACTGGGATGGAGGTTCCTTGAGCAGGTCCTCCTAAAGTTTGAGGTGCCGGAGGGTTTTATCTCAGCGGTCAGGGCTTTATACAATGCACCAACAGCAAGGGTCATCAATGCAGGGTTCGTATCGGACCCCCTCAAAATCTCAAACGGCTCCAGACAGGGATGCCCTCTATCGCCACTCCTGTACGTCATGGCCCTGGTGCCTTTAGCGGCTGCGATTAGGCAGCACTCCTCTATACATGGGGTAAAAATAGGGGAACGGGAATACAAGGCGAGTTTATTTGCAGATGACGTCCTCCTAACCCTGACACAACCCCACATATCCCTGCCCAACCTAATGGCCACCATTACGGAATACGGGAAACACTCCTACTACAAATTAAACGTCACAAAGACACAAGCCATGGGAATGGGGATACCAGGGGAATCACTCGATAGACTCAAAACCGCTTTCCCCTTCGACTGGCGAGTGGACCACTTAACTTACCTGGGCATCCGCATCCCACCACACACTGAAAAATTACTAGACCTCAATTATAACAAACTTCTGAAGGAAACGCAAACCACCCTATGGACATGGGAGGGGAAATACCTGTCATGGGTGGGGAGAATCGCGGCGATAAAAATGATGACACTCCCGAAACTCCAGTATCTCCTGAGAACTCTCCCCATAAAACTGCCAAACGCGTACCTGATCTCCTTCCAAAAAACACTAATCAGATTTATATGGGCCAACAAGAGACCAAGGGTGGCCACAAAAATACTACAAAAAACAACCATACACGGGGGTCTGGGACTGCCAAACATTCAAGAATACTATAGGGCAACACCACTAATGGCAATTAAGGCAGCAACAGTGGGAGGAGAAGCGCCACAATGGACCCAAATAGAGGCCCATTGGACAAACAGCCCATCTCTAAGGGAGCTCTTGTGGCTCCCGAAAAAACTCCGGCCCCAGCAGGTACAACCCCTAATGACCACACAGCTAACACTACACTTCTGGGACGAAATCCGCAAGAGGGAAGGGAATGAAGGAACACTCCTAGAGGACGCCCCAATATCGTGCATAGCGGCAGGGATCCCAACATTTGACACAAAAAAATGGAACGAGGCAGGCTGCACTAAGCTCAAACACTTATATCACGAAGGCAACTTGTTGCCATTCCCAGATCTCCAAGCGCGACACGACATCCCCAACAAGGCTCTGTTCTCCTACCTACAACTGAAATCGCTGCTCACAGGGGTACAAATAAATAACCAGGTGACACCCAACAAACACTCCATAGCACAATTTTGCCTAACTAACAAACCCCCTAAAAAAACAATCTCCACGATCTACAGCATACTCACAGATGACGAGGCGAACCCAGACATGACATTCCAAACAGCTTGGCACAAGGAACTGGGACAAACCATAGACAAAGAGCAATGGCACAGAGCATTTAAAATACACGTAGGTAATACACGCTGCACAACACATCTCGAAACAATAAGGAAAATACACTACAGATGGTATATGGTACCAGAGCATTTGACCAGGATATACCCAAACTCCCCAAACACATGCTGGAGATGCGGGATAACCGGAGGCTCTATAAACCACATATGGTGGTCGTGCACGGAGATTAAAATTTTTTGGAAGATAGTAGAGGAACTAGCAGGTGACCTGCTGGGTAGGCAGTGGCAACTCACCCTACAACAATGCATACTATGTCAATAGTCGCAATGACCAAAACAGAGAAGTCCCTGCTGTTTCACATCTTAATATCAGCAGTAACCCTAATAGCTAGAGCATGGAAATCGCCACAAATTCCTTCCAAGGAAACCCTAACACAACAAATAAACATTAATTGGCAATACGAAAAAATGGCACTTAAACACATTGGACCAAGGAAACACATAGACCTAGCCTATGAGAGGTGGGAAGAGTACAAGGGTAAGGGACAAAGCGAACAAACAGTGGGTCCATTACCGTGAGTGGGCACAAGGAGAGCACAGGAAAAGGACAACCAACAAGGAACTAGGAGATGGGGAACCTAGAAGTAACAACATACACTACGCAACAACATTAGAGCAGGTGAGACCCCAAAAAGACCACGAGAACCCTTATGGGAAAGGGTAACACCAAATCACATAGCCAGTGCCGAAGCAGGCCACCTCACACCCAAGCGCCCAGAAACTAGAGCAGAACCACACGTATAATGGATAATGTATGGTGCACGCTATATAATCTATGATGTACGACTTGTAGTGTATGAAACAAGATATATAATGTATGATGTAAGAAATACGATGTGTGACTAGTGATGTAACCTGAAGACATGGAACGTTTTGTGTTTTTTCTTTTTGACCCATTCCTTCCCCCCATATCCCTTTCTTTTCTGTACCCCAAGTTTTATAACAACGTAAAACAATAAAAAATTTCAAATTGAAAAAAAAACAATTTAATTATGATGTATTCATGGCAGCACTACACAGATCAGGAAAAAGGCTTGAAACGTTTAGTGATCAAAAAAACGTATAAAGCAAAAACTAGGATGGTAACAAAATGATCTTGTCTAAATAATCTTATGACATCGTAATATTGATACCTAAGTTGTAACCTATAACATAAAGATTATTTGATGCATAAGAAGAAGAAGATGAGATCAGAGAAAATTCCTAGGTTCAGCCAACAAAGCACTTAGAAATAGTTGGCAATTAAACTCACTTCTTGCATGAATTCTATTTTCTTAAATATTTAGCTTAAAGGATTGTTAGGCCAAATACATATGTTTGAAATATTGTTCTTTAAAACACAATATAATTGTAATATGAACTATTTCCTGTTTTAATCTCTTTCAATTAGAATAACTTGCTCTGCAAGTGTCTTTTCCTTCACAAAAATGTCAAATGGTTCTTAATTTCAGCTAATTCAGTAATATGGCACATTCCTTCTGAGAAAGTACATTCCAAAGAAAATTGCACACTGCTTTGATAATATTGCCACTGAAATACAAAGTTCTTCCAATTAGACTGCCATTATGAATTATTTTGTCTTGAATCCAATTAACTATAAAATAATATTCCACCACCCAAAAAAAAGAACATGACAGATTTAAGAAGTTTATACTTACAACATTAATGGGAATAGAGTGTGCTTGCAACTGCTGAAAAGCCTTGACAATGTGAGGACAAGGTTAATATTTCATCTATACATGACATACTTAATATAATATTTTTTCAACCTTTTAGACTGTCTATGTTTTATAACTTCTGTTATGTTAATGTCAGCCTCTAGAACGCTCTACAGTTTTAGGCTGGCTCCAATTTTTTTATTTTTTTATTGGTAACTAATTTGTGCCATTTTATTGGCAACCAGTGTAGGTTCTGCCTACAACATTTTGTATGAACTAGAAGTGATGCAGCAACTGTTCTGGGAGACCGTAATAATGTTCATTAGTCAACAAGGCAGGTACTGCTGTTGGAAGATCATCTGGAGGAATCAGGTTTTGATTGGCTTAGGTAGGCAAAATCAAGTGGCAATCAATTGCTATTTTGACAAACCCAATGTAAGGTAATAACTGCTTGATCCAAGGATAAATCTGACTGCCATTCTGGGGTCAAGAAGGAATTATTTTCCTAGCTTGTTGCAAAATTGGAAGTGCTTGAAATTGTTTTTTTTTTGTTTTTGTTTTTTTGCCTTCTTTTGGATCAACAGCAAAAAACAAATGTGAGGAAGGCTGAACTTGATGGACGCAAGTCTCTTTTCAGCTATGTAACTATGTAACCTTGTATCAAGGTGTTCACTCATCTCAAAGTCATCAGGAGGTAGAGTGGTGGGGTGGAAGCTAGCAGCTGTCCTAATGAGTAGAAGGTGCCAACAATAAGACTAACTGTTCTACCTATGGTTTGGTTGGTCTTCCATAAGTGTTCTCCTTATCTGGAGCAATGTCTTATAGATGTAGTAAAGCACAAGTCCATGCTGAAGACAATTGGCAAACTTCAGTGAATTCCTCACAGTTTTAATTGATTTAGTGAATACCCTGTCATTCTCTCTGTTTTACTTACTTTTACATTTTCATCAAGACACCTTCAGTCATTGTTATGTCTATGTGACTACAGAGTAAATGAGTTATGAGGGCACAAAGCACGCCAGTGTTGGTCAATGAGCACATAATTATTTGTCTATTAAACATACAGTAGAAGAAGCTTCTACCAAGTGATCTTGCTCCAGTGACCTTTTAGCATCAGCCCAATGGTGCGGGATGATATTAAAGGGACACTGTAGTCACTATAAGCATATCATCTCTTTGAATTGGTTATAGTGCCTGGAGTGCCCTGGCACTGTCCCTCCATTCAGTGGTGCACCATGTTTGTGCAGTATGCCACAAAATAAGAGTCCCTGGCCACCCACAGTCCGGCCCCTTCAGTATGTGTAGCTAAGGCAGAGATTACACACTTCCTTGTTGTCATACCCATTCATACCGTCAGTTGGAACTCTGACAGGCTAAAAGCAGTCAGCTGACACTCTCAGCCAATCACAGCTGCCTATTGCTGCTCAGGCTAATACTTCCTTATTAGCCAAAGCAGCACAGAGGGGATGGATTGCCAGGGACTCTTGTTTAGCATTAAAGCATTAAAAGTTTAAAAACTGTTTAATGCTGAAAGAAATGATGGTACCAGAGGACTCCAGACACTATAACCAGTTTAATGAGATGAAGCAGATACAGTGCCTACGGTGTCCCTTTAATCATAGTTAAGTTCATTTTGTTAGTATACTTTATTTAGGAATGTGAATTCTGGGTTTAACCCCTCATCGTCATTATTTCTATGTTAATATAATATATTAAAAAAATTATAAACAAATAAAGTACATCAAAAACAATAGGTAAAAAGTGTCTTGCTCAAATAGCTTGCAATCTAAGTTCCTTCTAAAAAATGAAGGAGGCAGTAAGGGTGAGATGTGGCATTCTTCTGATTGCAGTGATTGCAATAGTAATATGAATTGTAAAATTCCATGTTTTTTATCCAATGCCTGATCTCAATGTTAATGGAGGGATGGCTTACTCTTTGCGTTTTGAACAAGGAATATTTTTTTTCTGAAAAATATCATCAATGGACCTTTGGTTGGTGGCTATAATTTTTTCCAGGAGGTATCTATAGAGCTTTGTTTCATACTGGGCCTGTCAAATCTCCCATGTCGCTTATAGTGCGAGCATGTTGCTTCACTTCATCTGAAAGGCTTGCAGTGATAGAAAATTCACCGTGATCAAAAAAATTCACTTTGCTTGCACAAAAAATTTAGTCACTTTTTGTATATATTATCAATAAGAAGTTTCATAACAGAACACAATGACAACCACAAAAGAAAATTCTGCATACTCATTTCTTTTATTGACATTAACATCTAAGGGGTCCTCATAAAACTGACTTTTATAGTTGGCTAGTGCAACGCAGGCCACATCAGCCATCATGTATTCTAGCTGTAGGAATGTATAAATATGGCACATATTGTCTGCGTTTTTGAAGACTAAGAACTCGATCCAAGTCTTTGAGTTGAAAAGTTCCATTTTGTGCAATCAGTATTTGGTTTAACATGATTGCTGAATTATTTTTAAATTGAAGACATATGTGTGAACATCGAAATGAATGCTTCGCTCCAAGATGGTGTCCATTAAATTTCCTCCACTGGGGCTATCTTCGATGTTTAACATCTTTGATGCATTCTCGACTTTAGTTCTCCGTGAGAAATCTTCTAATACAAAGACATGGAAATGTTGAAGAATATAAAATGAGTACATAGGTGATTTAAACATAATTTGTATGTATCAGTCAAACTTTTAGTCCCTTAGGCTTTTTGAAAGTGTTACTTTAAAGTCAATCATCTTCATCTTTACAATTCAACAGCATATGCTTCCATTTTTGCACCTAAGATTTAGCATTAAGCAGCCATAACCTTCCTTCCTTGTTTGTCCTGAAAGCATTCCAAAATTGTTAATTACATATTGGATGATTACCATACCATATGCTGCTCACTTTTAATTTGTTTGACCTCAGTTCTTGTGAATAATGTCACTGCAGACTTCCCTGAAGCTTTTCTGCATAGCTAAGAGAATTATTTTAAATTGAGATATTATTTTAGTAACTATGACTTGTAAATGTGAACCCTTGTACAGCAATTAGCTTTAAAAACATTCATGAACTGTTTCAGTTTGTCTGCCTCACAAAGTTTATGGTGAAGGTTATAGCGCGAGGTATTATTTTTTTCCTGTCTTTACTTCGTTTTAGGCAATCGTTTTGGAATTGGTAAGCAATGCATTAAAGTATCGAGCATATTATTAATACATATTCATCCTCCTGTAAAATAAATATGTGTATAGCAAATAATTTCAATGTAAAGGACACGTTTATAAGGTAAATATGATGTAAAAAGATTAATAGGGGCTCTGCAAAACAGATCACCAGTAATAGAAGATTTACAATGCAAATTAAACTCTCCATCAAACATCTCCAAGATGGTTAAAACAAGTCTTCTTTGCGGCATATTTTAAATTTTCCTTCTTTTGTTTCCACTCTCTCTATCTCTCTCTATCTCTCTCTATCTCTATATCGACCAGACGCTCTGTCGATTGGCAGGTTGGAGTTAGACTCTGCCCCCTCATAAAGATCCTGCCTCCTCACATTAGGCCCCACCCCCTGTGCCAACTCAAGGTGGGGTCTAATGTGAGGAGGCAAGATCTATATGAGGGGGCAGAGCCTAACCTAATGAGAGGGCCAGGGTGTACGTGAGGGTGTAGAACCGAGCTACAGAGCACCTGGACAGTCTGCACACACCCAAGATCGGCCTTGCAGTACATACACACACATTAGGGGCTATGGTGCCCTTTGTGGACATGGCGCAAAAATAATAATAAGAGTTGCCCCTTTATATCTACTCTAAAGATATGCATGACCTCAAGAAATTAAAGAAAAGCTAACATTAAGTTATCCACTTCAGGAAAGCATATTTAATTATAAAAGATAATGCAAACTAAACAATATAAAAGTACATCAAATTAAGATGAACACCTAAAATCATGTTGGTACCCTTTATATACCCATCTACTGAATGTCATCTTAACATAGATCACCTCTAATATACTATTTCTATAAATATAAAGTGCTCTAAAATATGCTGGCGCTATATAAAATACTAATAAAAACAATATTAAATGCTATAGAGAAAATGTGGCATATTCTGAACTTTGAAAACTCGAGAGGGGATAAACGTTAAGCATAGTCTTATTTCAATATTCAACACAAGAAAACTAAATTGGTAGCAAACTTAAGTGCTCTATTTAATAAAGGCTATATTAGATTTTGGCTTAAGATTTTTGCACTGTTTTTTTACATGACTGTTTTCAATTAAGTTATTCAATAAAGCCAATATTTCTGTGTTTCATCATTGATATGTGTAGTCAAAACTATTGTTGTTGGAATCACAGTTCAACTGCATTTGACCGGCCAAGAGTATTTTAACCCTGTCACTTACGAAAAAGCGTCCAATTTATGTCAAATATGGGAGATGACTTAATTTTTTCAATGTGAAAACTGTAAAGTGTTGAATTCATTGTTTTAATACTTTAGAAGCAGAATTCAACAGACAGCAAGGTAGCAAAGCACAAGAACAATTCAGGTGGTGATTATGTGAAAGAACTTGCACTTAGCAGCTGTACAGCAGTCACCCTTGACTAGTTCCACTGACATTAGTAGTAATTTGGCTGTAGAAGTCTAGTTAATTCTGCTTGTATTAGTTGTGAAATCAGCTGTTGTAAATTTTGATAAACAGCTAGGGAATTCAACCCGCTAAATGCTTCAAAAACAGTAGATTTTTTAGTCATTAAGAAATGAAAGTCACTTTGTACCTATGTCTAAACATGTTTTAAATGCTGTATTGGGCTAATTACACAATCATTAAACTGTACAAAGACTAGAATAAAACAGCCATAGAGCACTTTTAAACAAGGTGATAACTAATATGCATAGAAAGAAATAGAATGGATAAGCGCTAAATAATTCAACAAAAATTACCTACGGCAGCAAATCTTGCAGGGGGTAATACAAATATTGTTATACAGTACTGGGTATACTTTTCTTTATGGGGTGGAAGAAGGCCTGGCTTCTTATAGGTACTTGAGGTGTGTCCTTGAGTACATGTAAATAACAAAACCAAAGGAAAATTCAACAGTGCGGTATGATTTTGAAATGGGCACTTACATTTTTTAGAGCAGCCAAACCACTTAGCTGTCATTAAGGTGATAACTAATATCTGATTGTCAGGATCAGTACCTATGTTTTGCTGCACTAGATAAGGTGTCATGCAGGATGTTACAGAAGAGGACACATTAGAACTGTGAAGACATTGTTCACTCATGCTGTGATCTTTTACAATGTATACTTAATCAGCTCTGTCAACAGATTCTCACACATCCTGATTTTCGTTTAGTGGAGAAAACAACAACAACAACAACACAACAAAATCTCAAAGCAAAGTTATCTCAGATAAAAAAAATAAAAAAAATTCTAAACCGGTAGATGGCTGTATTAATTATTGTTGATCTGTCTCAAATAATGTATGCACTCTGCACAATCAAGAATAACGTTAGTATGATTGGTTGAGCTAATCCAGCCAATTGCATTGCTCATTTTTCATGCCATTATTACAAGATTTTATATCTAATATCTATGTAATAAAAGATGCCCCTTTCATTTACAAACGATAAGTACTTATGGGCATCGGATGGATAACTAAGTATTTGATTATTCTTACAGTTTTAAAATATAATTCTAGATTTTGAGGAGGTTATCCCTGATGCCCACATATATTTATGGGTATAAATGGAAGTGGGGGCTCTTAAAGGGACACTGTAGGCAGTGTATGTGCTTCATCTCATAAAATTGGTTGTAGGGTCTGGAGTTCCCTGTTGCCATCATTTAATTCAGCACTAAATAGTTTTTAATGTTTTACGTTTAAACGAGAGTCCCCAGTAGCCACTCCCCTCTGTGCTGTTTTGGCAAATGAGGAGGTATTAGCCTGAGCAGCAATGAGTAACTGTGATTGAGAGTGTCAGCTGACTGCTTTTAGCCTATAGGAGATCCAACTGACTGTGTAAGGGGTATGACTACAAGTAAGCGTGTAATCTCTGTCTTAGCCACACGTCCAGAAGGAAGTGGGTGGCCAGGGACCCTTATTTAGTGCTAAACTGCTCTAAAATGGTTTAACTCTGAATAGAGGGACAGTGCCAGGGGACTCCATTCAGTATGAGCAAATCAAATAGATGAAATGGTTATATTGACTACAGTGTCCCTTTAATATTTTTTAATTTTTATTTCTTTTTGTCGATTTGTATTTTATTGAGGTTGAAGTGGTTACAGAAAGCAGAAAAAGTCGTTAATGCAGGTCAACAAATAACAGAAAGATATGTCAATATAGAAATACAATCTTGTTATATTAATAATTACACCAGTGGCTCCCAAACATTTTAGATTCAAGGTGTCCTTAATATTTC